AAGGAAGGGAGAGAGACAGAGACAAGAGGGATATGGGAATAAAAGAGGGCATGGGAGAGAGGGGAGGGGGAAGGAAGGGAGAGAGACAGAGACAAGAGGGATATGGGAATAAAAGAGGGCATGGGAGAGAGGGGAGGGGGAAGGAAGGGAGAGAGGCATAGGCAGGAGGAAAGGAAAATAAAAGTAGGCATGGGAGAGAGGGAAGGGGGAAAGGAAGGGAGGGAGACGGAGACAAGAGAGATATGGGAATAAAAGAGGGCATGGGAGAGAGGGGAGTGAAGAAGTTAGGGATGGCGGGATAAGTGGGAGGGTAGATATCAGGAAGGGAGGGAGAGACGGAGCGAGAAAGAGAGAGAGAGAGGCAGAGGCGAAGGAAAGGAAGCGAGTGAGGCGGTGGAATAAAAGTCGGCGAAAAAGTAGTGACACGAAGAGGCCACGCCCACTGCTGGTGGAATTTCCTTCTCAGGTTGTCATACACAAAATGGCGTCTGACCATCGGAAGAAACCAACGTCACCGCCAACAAACAATAACGACGAGGTTTGCAAGTACAAAAATACACACCGCCATGCAGCGAAAACCCTCTGTCTCACATACATGAACACCACCTCGCGGCGTGTGCGCGCGCGCCATCTATCGCCGGCTATCGTCATCAATCTAACACGTAGAAAAAAACAAAGTATTGAGTAAATACGTCGATAGGAAACATTTACAGCTTATCGTCACGTTACGTAGAAAGGCAAGCAGCAGCAACGCTGAACACACGTACACACACGCACATACCCACGCGCGCGCACGCACACGCAAACACGTACGCACGCGCGAACGCACATGCGCATCAACAAGTCAGTGAGAAGTCCCACGAACCACGGATACGACAACAAACAGGAGTAAATAATCGATAAAATACGTGTAAATGTTCACATTATTTACTGGTGATGGTAAGAGAGATGTACACGGCAGCACACACGCGCCGTGGTTGTGCGCGGTCTCTCTCTCTCTCTCTCTCTCTCTCTCTCTCTCTCTCTCTCTCTCTCTCTCTTTCTCACTCTCTCTCTCTCTCACTCTCTCCCTCTCTCTATGTTACAATGCGGAAGAGCCACGATATCTTGTTGTTTTGTACAACTGTTACAAAATCACAGAACGCCTGTTGACAACGAGCGCCCCCTACCGGCGACCTCTACGCGCGCGTTTCTCCGCCGATACTAAAAAACAGATATGAAAGACTGACGAATACGGTGGCTCCATCTACACAAGGATTTCGGAACCTGTGATTTGATCACGAAGTTTTTTTTCGGCGCTACGTCGACAAGTAAACATGACCGTCTCTCGGTAAAAAAACAACTAGTGACTCATCGCAGCAGGGCATTGGCACTTTGCCAACACCATCGCGTAGCCGCCTTGGTGACGTCAGTGGCACAAACAAAACAAAAACAAAATGGCGCCTTCACATGACACGATCTAATCAGAATATACAGTGAAGAAAAAAACAGAGTGAATATTGACACGTCATCGATATATGCGTACCATACCTAAAATATTTCCTATAACGATCAAAAAGATTGTGATACTGAAATAAAAGTACATTTATTCGCTAATGTGCACTAGTGTGTAAAGCGCCACCTATAAGATAATGCATCTAATTAATCGATTAATTATTAAAGAATAAATCATTAATTGGATGATATAACATATTTCGTATGACAAACTCGGCACATTAATAATTTCCTCTCCTCTCCTCTTCTCTTTTCTCATATCCTCTCCTCTCTTCTCAGTCGATTAGAATTGCTAGAGAATGCCTTCATCATATAAGAATCTCCATGCGATTGCCCTTCCGGTTGATCCTGACGTATCCGGGAGGGATGTCCGGAAAGTTGTCCTCCAACTTGAAGATCATGTTTACCATGGTGCCGTTAAAGTTGGCCTGAAATCTAGCAGCAGGGAAAGAAGATGCAAGACAAAGAGGTTATTTTTTAGCGTAGTCACATTCATTGTCATCTCAAGAGCCGACACAGGTCACAAGTTAATGTCAAGGTCACGGGTCTAAATCACAGGTTAATGTCACAGGTCACAGGTCAAAGTCGCGGGTCAAGGTCACAGGTCAATGTCAGGCTCGCGAATGTTTACTTGAATAGCGAACTTTACATCAGTGGCAAAATCAGGTTTGCATTTAATCTGTAGTATTGCGGGCAAGTGGACGGATGGATGGTTGGATTGATGACTGGATGGATGGTTGGATGGATGAAGCGAGAGATGGGGGATAGATGGGTACACGTACTCGCTAGCTACCACCATCTCCGGTGGCTTGCCATTGGCATTAATGATGAGCAGAAACATCTTGGCGACCATCTCGATCACGTGGTTGCTCTCCAGAATGAAGTCTCCTTTCTTCTTAGTCGCCTCGCTCTAAGAAGCAAAAGAGGAGGCGTCCATTACAGAGAAGTTAACTCTCTCCTCTCATTCTCTCGTTCTCTCGCTCTCTCTCTCTCTCTCTCTCTCTCTCTCTCTCTCTCTCTATTTCTCTTGTCGCTCGCCCTTTCTCTCTACACAAGGGTTAGATCCACTTATCTCCTTAAAGTGGAAAAGACTATAAATACGGTTCTATGGACAATACCCCCCCCGACGAATCACCCCCCTACCGAATTACCCCCCTCCCCGCCATTTACCCCCACCTGCCATTTTACCCCCAGACAATTACCCCCCGGAACATTTACTCCCCGACAATTACCCCGACATTACTCCCCGGACAATTACCCCCCGCGAACATTTACCTCCCCGGACAATTACGCCCCAGGACATTTAACCCCCGACAATCACCCCCCGGACAATCACCCCCGCGACATTTACCCCCCCGGACAATTACCCCCCGCGACAATTACCCCCGCCCCCCCGGGGGCATTTACTCCCAGATGCCATTCACCCGGGAATCAACACCGACCTGCGACAATTACCCGCGGACATTTACCGCCCCGCGACAATTACCACCCCCGGACAATTATCATCACCGCGACATTTACCCCCCGGACAATTGCCTCCCGACAGTTTACCCCCCGACAATTACCCCGACAATTTACCCCGCGACATTTACCCCCCGCGACAATTACCCCCCGGACAATTACCACCCCGACATTTACCCCCGGACATTACCCCCCGGACAATTGCCTCCCGGACAATTTACCCCCCCGGACAAATACCCCCGACATTTACCACACGGACATTTCTTACCCCCCCGGACCAATTACCCCCGCCAATTACCCCGGACATTTACCCCCCGGACATTTACACGCCACTTTATTATTCATTGGTTGAACAGTGATCACAGGCAGGAGGTCGAGTGAGAAAGGAAGACGGTGGTGGAGAGGGGGGAAAGGTGGGAGAATTATTGGTGGCAGGGATGAGGAGGGGAGATAGGTGGAGGAGGAGGAAGTAGGGGGGGAGAAGTGGAGGTAGGAGGAGGAGGGGAGAATGGTGGAAGCTAGGAGTAGGAGGAGAGAGCAGAGGAGCCGTGGAAGAGGCAGGAGAGAGGAGGAGAGGAGAACAGTGAGATGAGTGGGAGCGAGGAGGAGGGGGGAGAAACGTAGGGAGAAGGGGTTTGAGGAGAGGGGGAGAAGTGGCGGGAGGAGGCGGGGGAGAGGTGGGAGGAGGAGGGAGGAGGAGGACAGGCAGGAGTTAGGAGACTAAGTGAGAAAGGTAGAGGAGGAGGGAAGAAGGTGTGGAGGGAGAAGGGGAGAAAAAAGGAGGTGGAGAGGAGAGGAGAGGAAGGAGGAGCAGAAGAAGACGGTGGAGGAGGTAGAGAAGGAGAGATAGGCGAGGGCCAGTGCTGGAAGGAGGGGAGAAAGGTGCGTGCGTGAGAGAGGAAGGAGGAGGAGGAGGAGGAGAGGAGGTGGAAGAGGAGAAGAGATAAGGATGAGCATGCGTGGAGTAGGAGGGTAGGAGAATGAGAAGGAGAGCGGGGAGAACTGGGGAGAAGGGGCGGAGAAGGAGTGGGAAAGAGGGGAGAGGTGGAGAATGGAGGAGGAGGAGGTTGACGGAGGAGTATGAGAGGGGAGATGAGGAGGGAGAGAGAAGGTGGAGCGATGAGTGAGTAGAGACGGTCGCCTCTACCTCTCTACCTCACACTCCCCTCCCCTCCACCTTCTCCTCCTCTCCTCCTCCTCCACCACCTGCGCCTCATCGCTACCTTTCCCCCTCTCCTCCTCCTCACCTCTCCTCGCTCTCCTCATCCACCCTCCACCTCCTCCTCTCCGCCGTTCCTCCCCCTCCTCCTCCACCGACCTTCTCTGCCCCACCGTCTCCCCCTCCTCTCCTCCACCTCCTCTCCTCCTCTCCTCCTCCTCCACCACCACATTCGCCTCCCGCTATACAGATGTAGCTTTGCAATTTTAATGGGCAGCCCCCGACCCACACAGACTCCTCCCTACCCACCACCTGGATGGCCTCATCCTTTACTTCCAACGCATGCAATAGGTTCACCCGCTAATTCTGCCTACGACCATACCCGGCGGTGTCTCCCGGTTTGAGGCTGTTGGTATACCACTGTCATACAGTACAAGCCTTAACGCTTGCCACCTTAGGTTTTTGTCACCTGTATAACGTTACAAATTACACGAGCTAACAATGGTGTTACGCGAAACTGCTCAATTTCTGATTACTTCAGCGTCGACAGATGGCTGTGCACGCCGATGTCTTTTGGCACTACAGTGCAGCGGTGGCGGCGCAGCGAGGCACGTATTGATCCAGTTTCAAAAATGAACTGCAGGCTCAACTGGCTGCGCATACCATGTTCAATACACCCACACCACCTAACTGTTACCCCGAGTAGTTTAACAGCCAGCGCCGGCTCAGTCTTTAGTAGGTTTGTCCAACAGGTTACACGCTCTCCTGCAGAAATATAGCACGCTGAACACTACCAAGGGGCGGCAGCTGTAAATAAGGTGACAGCTGTAGCAGCGACGGATATCATTCTGTGATCAACACCAGACAACGAATGTTTCCCATTGAGCAACCTTGAGCTATCTTTCCTGTGTTTCTATTCAGTAGATCTCGACAATTCTTGCTATTTACCCTTACCATCCAATATCACAGACCCCTCCTTGCGCCATAGGACCTCCACTGCTTCCCTCATTTTCCCTCTAGCCCTTCCTTACTTCCACCTCTTACCTCGCCGCGGTATGCATATGCAATCGCTTGCCTTAACAAGCAGCGCGTATGTAAGGCAAAAACTACGGAGGCGGACGAGCGCTAACGCTAATTTACTCAATGCTTCCCGACCGCGCGAATGACGCCATCCAATAAACTCGAACACGAGCCAGAATGCGGGCTGCAAGTGCGGGTTAGAATGGCTGGCATATTTAGGTTTGGCCATTCAGGCACACAAAAATACCGCAATGCGCTATAATGTACCCAGTGCGCTATGCGCAGGAAGAAGAGCAGTGTGTGCCTGGGCGAGTTGTTGCGCGACGCAGGCAGTCCAGCGACAGCAGCGCTAATATATATATACAAGGGGGACCTATCGACACGAGCGTGTCACGCCAACGCACCCCTAGCTACAGACTGCTGCGCGGACTCATTGCTGTGTTGGCTCTCTACGGCGATGTAACGGCCGAAGCTACGCAGCCGATGCATTGTAAGGCACAGCGGCAGCCGATAAGGCACGAAAGCACAGACGACCCAAAGGCCCACAAAAAGATGTAGGCCCAAGAATAGGTAAGGCACACACAGAAAAGACGCGGAAAAGGCCCACAAAGAAGATGCTAAAGGCAACACAAAGAAGATGCCAGCATCCACGCGGACGACGTAAGGCAACACGACAGATGGTATTCCAAGCGCAGACAGCGAGGCAAAAACGCAGCAACCCCGCGCGGTAGTTAGGAAAGCGTTAGACGACGCAAAGCAGCGCAGACAATGTAAGAACAACTGGGATGAATGTATACCCAGCGGAAGACGTTAGATAAGCGCAGCACGAAGTGAGGCAAACCAGAAAACGCATATGCAATGACCTTACAGAGACCATCAAATGTGGGGGAGACATGACGACGATCGTCCAGGATGTGTACTAGCGTGAGCTAGATGTAGATGACATGTTCAACCTGTGTTAGCCGCACTCTTACGATTTTACAGCCTGTCCTTCTTGGCTGTCTATAAAGACTGACGCCAACGCGTTTCCCCTCGAGTGATTGTTATTTAAAGTGAAACCATATCTGTAGAATGTAGACATTTATCTAGAAAAGGGCCAGCCTTTTTGGGTTTCTTTAGTTAACACGTTATGCCAATAAAGGTTTTTGAGTATACACAGCACTCTCATTGCATCAAAGTCCACATTTACCACGAGGAAAGACAGGTCTGGAACTATATTTCCCAAAATTTGACTAATTAATGGATACTATAATATTCTAATTAGGCACTTATCAAAAATCAAAAGTCAAAAAACACACACTTTCTTTCTGCCAGTCAATTAAACGTAAAAAAATGGATCGTGCAAATCCTAATTCAATTGGTAAAGTCACAGCTTTAGACGACTAGTGGTTGCTGTAACAGCACGTAGAAACATGCATTCTTCAACGCTTGTTGCATAACGTGTGACCACGACAGTCCTTTAGGAATGCCGCATCGGAAGAGCAATTTTACTGCCAGTTAGTTTAACATGCATCTATCATTGAAAGTGAGAGCCATAGGTTAAAAAACGCTAGTATATGGCAGCCTCCTGATTACACGGTGGTTGTGTGTTGTGTGTGTGGGGGGGGGGTAATTGAGTGTATATACTCCCTCATAACTTGCTTGCTCTCACAATCCCTCCATAATCACACAGCGGACGCACACCATGCACAGCAATCGTAGGAAAGACAATCAGGCATACGCACGCAAGCACCACTTCCACAAGTGTTTCAGTATCCGACATCAAAGGTCTACAATGTGTATGTAAACATGCTTATCCTTCACCCTTTAACTGCTGTCACACCCCTCTTGCAGCATGCACCACTTGCCCAGGATATGAATGATTCCAGCAGTACCACCTATACTACATAGGGATCGGCTGGGAAGAGGGGGTTAAGCAATGTCCTCCACAAGAGCTGCTGGTTCTATAAATACCGCCGCACTCAATCTTTGCAACCTTTGCCTGTCGCATAGCCTAAAATCCGGCCTCTCTCGTCACAGTACGGCGACAATTAATCAATAGGACACGATTTATCTACGCTAGAAAAAATTCGCCGTGACCTTTGCTGTTCGCAGCGGCCTGTACGGTTCCGCTAGTTGGCAATAAGCCGTTCCAGGTCTTCCCAGCCATGACGTCCTTGTGTGGCACGTTCCGGTACATGTCAACTTTTTGCTTTTCCTGCAAATCAAACAAGGCCAACGTTGAAGCGAAATCATAAACGCAACAGAATGTACAGAGAGCTACATGTAAGGTGAATAGTAAAGGACATTAAA